ATTATCCACATAAAGGTGGTAACCTTTATTAAACAAGGAGTTTAGTAGGTCCCATATAAGTTTCCCACTTGTCCCCAGGGAGTCAGGACAGCCAGGAGGGTCCAGTTGACCATCTTTCCCCTCATATACACGAAAGTCAAACGTGTATCCACTTTCGCTCTCGCACAGTTTGTACAGTTTTATGCCATACCTAGAGCGCTTTGAGGGGATGTATTGTCTGAACCCTAATCTCCCTTTGTATTTCATTAGCGATTCATCTATGGATAAATTTTGTTGGGGGGTATAAACATCCAAAAGTTTGTCCTGAAAATGGTCTAGCAGTGGGCGTATTTTATGAAGCCTATCGTATTGGGGGTGATCTCTAGTGTGACAGAGGGTATTGTCACTGAAATGTAAAAATCTCAGCAGTAACTCGTATCTGGCTCTAGGCATGGTTTGGGAGAATACTGGACTAGACATTATTGGGTTGGTGCTCCAGTATGAGCGAATCGATGGCTTCTTTATAATCCCCATGAGCATTGTAAGAGCCCAGAATTAAACATGTCGTCTTGAATAGACGTGTCAGAAAACTGACCTGGGTCAAAATCTGACGCAGTGTCAGTGGCGTCAGAGTCTGACGCCAAGAAGGCATATGCCTCCTGCAAGTTATACATACGCTGCATGTTCTACACACGACTAAAACAAATTACAAACACACAAAAAAAAATGTATACTTTTTTTTTCCATAAAAACAGACTAAACAGCAATCCCTAAATTAACTCCTGTCACAAAAATCTAATGGAGATTTGGGGGAAGGAAACAGACAGACCAAGACACAGATTTTTAAAACAAATTTAACCCTTCAAGGGCAAAAAAAAAAAATTACAGACAGTACAAATGCACTGCTGCAACAGATCTGGCAGGGAAGGGGTTAAAGGGTGATTTATTTATTTTTTAATAAAACACTGATACTTTCTGATGGTCACTGTTGCAACAAACTATCATGATCTCTGTCTCTCTCACCTCACAAAACGCTAGAGAGGAGAGAGGGGCAGAGGTCACTGTCAAAGTGAGTGTTTGTAACACCCACTTTGACAGCAGCCAATTCGCTCACACACCGCAATTGGCTGTTACTATCTGTCTGGGATGTATGGCAGATAGTTACAGTGTTATACCGACGCAGCCCGTTTTTCGCTATGACGGTTCAGGACCGTCAGCAGTCCAAACGCACGTTTTACCGCTGACAGTCCTGAAGGGGTTAAAGATATATATCATATGCAACAAGAGCCTGCAAGCTTATTCATGAAGAGAATAAACCATTTTTAAGGCAATAAATACAAAGACCTGACTCTCAAAATTCTGTAGGTCGTGTAACAATGACTTAGGAACAGGAAGTGTAACTGAGTCAAGTAGATACACCATATGGCTATATTGTGTTACGTCATTAATTGCTTACAGTACCCCAATATCGATGGGTCCTACACTAATTTTAACATTAACATGCCAACTGTGATACTTACAGCTTAAAGGGACACTGTAGGCACCCAGCCCACTTCAGCTCATTGCACTTAGTGCTGCAATGTAAAATATTGCAGTTCCAGAGAAACTGTAATGTTTACATTGCAGCTCTAAGTCTGCCCTCAGTGGCTGTCTACCAGATTCCTGGCTTCCTGGTTTGAAATGGACTCTGCATGAGAACCTCCAGCGTCAGATTTTTCACAATAGGAAAGCATTGATTCAGTGTTTTCCTATGGGGAGGTTTAATGCGAGCAGCATTTGACGCACATGCGCATTAGATCCCGCTCATCGCGGGACAGAGGAGGAGCTTTGACCCAGCACCGAGGGTCATTGACACTGGGATCAGGTAAGTAAATAAAGGGTTTTTTACCATTTATTTACTGGGGAGAAAGGGGAGGCAGAGGGAGTGATAGTGCCAGGAATACCGCTTTTATTCTAAATTTATTCTTTCCTGTGATCAACTCTATTATATGACCATATGGTGTAACTAAAACCCCGTATTTATTTAAGATAGATGATTTTAAGTATTCTTGTAAAATGTAAAACTGTATTTTTTGTTTGTGCGCGTTAACTTAATCTGTATTATGTATATACACATATTTTGGTCTTTATGGCAGCACCACGTCTTAGAAATTCATGATCCAGATGTGCCCCAATTTCTTTTCTTTCTTCAATTGACTGCATGTCTGTGTTTGATTTTGTTCATTGCTGTGTGATTGCTGGTTTTTCTCTCTCAATGAACCCTGATTGTTATAAAACTCATGCCACTGACTGTTTTCTTATATAGCTCCCCCCCAGGCACTTTTTATATCTTTCAAATTGTGTAAAATGCCGCTATATGTTCACCAAGCATCTATTAACTTTTAAAATCAATCATCTCTCCCAGCATGTGCTCCACCTGCAAATCGCAAATCTTAAACTTCTCTACCAGGCAGCTCATGAATATCTAATATTGCTGATTATAAAAATAAAATTGTAACTAGCTGTGAATTAGATAATGCAGATCCCGAAATGATTTGTGGGAACATTGTTTGTGAAATCAAGTTCACTAATTACAATTTCTAGAAAGTAATGTTCTTATTAAATCCTTTCATGGTGCCCACACCATATAAACACATGAGGGATAGCTGTTAACATTGTGTAATTTTTCTCCTAGGGTCCTCTGGAAGTCGCCCAAGTGTTTTTGTCTGAGATTCCCAGTGACCAGAAATTGTTTCGGCACCATAACAAACTAAGACTCTGTTTCAAAGACTTCACTAAAAGGTACTTTCATGTTGCTCATATTATGATGAAGCTTGTTTCAGATATATGGGATTCGGAGGTGGGACATATTGTAAGCTCTATTAAGCATAATTTCGTATCTTACAAATATTAAAGGGACACTGTAGGCACCCAGACCACTTCAGCTTATTGAAATGGTCTGGGTGCACTGTCTTTTCCCCCTGAATCCTGCAAGTTAAAACATTGCAGTTCCAAAGAAAGACAGCCTCTAGAGGCACTTCCAGGAATTTCCTGGACTCTGGGTTGCCTGACGCTGGATGTCCTAATGCTCTGCAGTATCAGTTAAATCCCCATAGGGATTTTAGACCTAATAGACCACATGTACATTACGTCCCCGCCTGTCAAATGACGTCGTAGGAGGCGGAAAGCCGTCCAGCAACCAGGGAGAACACCGCTGTAATCGAGTAAGCAAATAAAGGTTTTTTTAAAACTCTTTATGTACTGCAAGGGGGACAGTGAAGGTGGGGGGTCATAGGGCTTTCTATTGTTAGGAATACAACTTTGTATTCTTAACATTATAGAATCCCTTTAACTGTAGGAAAATATTTCTTTAGTTACGTACAGAGAAAACGTAATAATGTTTATACTACAGCATGTCTCTGGCTTTCTGTTGTCTATGTTGGCTACATTAGCATGGGTCTGCTTCTTGTTTGAATTATTGAGATCTCATTTAATGTTTTGTACACCAGATGTGAAGATGCATTACGTAAAAATAAAGGCCTGATTGGTCCCGACCAGAAGGAATATCAGAAGGAATTAGAGAGAAATTACCATCGCCTCAAAGATGCTCTGCAGCCACTTATCAACAGAAAGATCCCACAGTTGTACAAGACAGTCCTCCCTGTTACCTGCCACAGGTAAACTTGCATCGTCAGAACATGCAGTGAATTTGTGACCCAATAATAGGTTCACTATAAGATTGTGAAGAAGTTCTTGCCCCGCCTCTCCTCTTTTGCTCCTGGTGCTTCACACCTGTACTCTCAAGCATACAGCATTGACGTCTATAGAGGATCATGTGAGCCCACGGGATCCTCCATAGACTGCTAATATCTCTGACGGGTGGGATATTGACACTTTTAGATTTAGTATCCCTGCCCAGCGTCTAGAAGTATCAGGTGTGGAAAATATACAGAGACAAAATAGTCCTTATTTGTCTCAGTATATCTTTTGACTGGGTTGGAAATCTAACAGTCAGTATGAGTATTTCATAAAGATTTTATCTTGTTAAATACTTATTTTCTAGGGGGGGGGGGAGTTGTAACAATGCTGCTTTATGAGGTTAAAAGCAAAAACTGAAATGAATGTAGAACGAAAGAAAAATATAAATAAACAAACTTGGGAGATGGGGCATCTCGGCATTCACCAAAATTGTTTGCTAATCTTAATACTGTTTGATTAGAAACTCTACTAGTGTCCTAAACAAAATAATCCACTAGAGGTCTCTTTCCTCAATAGAAGCTCCAACTGTTAGCTACACAAAATTTACCAACAGTCCCACTTTATTTTTGTGTGTGTAATTGTAAAATATTTTGTGTTAATAAACCCAGGTTAATACTATCCTGTTTGAGACATTTGGTTAAAAGCTTTTATGAAAGCACCCTACTACTTTGTCTCTGTATATTTCCTACACCTGACACTTCTAGACATTGGCCGGAGCCAAGAAGTTTCAATCCCCCCAGTAGTCACCAGTATCTATGTAGGTTCTCATGAGATCCTTAAAGGGACACTATAGTCACCCAGACCACTTCAGCTCAATGAAGTGGTCTGGGTGCTAGGTCCCTCAGGTTTTAACCCTTCAGATGCAAACATAGCAGTTTCTGAGAAACTGCTATGTTTACATTTGGGGTTAAAGGACCACTCTAGGCACCCAGACCACTTCAGCTTAATGAAGTGGTCTGGGTGCCAGGTCCAGCTAGGCTTAACCCATTTTTTTTTTATAAACATAGCAGTTTCAGAGAAACTGCTATGTTTATGAATGGGTTAATCCTTCCCCTATTTCCTCTAGCGGCTGTCTCATTGACAGCCACTAGAGGCGCTTGCGTGCTTCTCACTGTGATTTTCACAGTGAGAGCACGCCAGCGGCCATAGGAAAGCATTGTGAATGCTTTCCTATGTGACCGGCTGAATGCGCGTGCGCATTCAGCCCAGGAGGAGAAGGAGAGCTCCCCGCCCAGCGCTGGAAAAAGGTAAGTTTTAACCCCTTTCCCCCTTCCAGAGCCGGGCGGCACTATAGTGGTCCTCAGGGCACTATAGTGGTCCTTTAAGCCAGCCTCTAGTGGCTGTCTTCCGGTCAGAAGATGATGCCGCCCACAAGGGACCGGTTCACGTAAGTAAAACAAGTCTATTGCTCCTCTCCCAGCCACCAGCGGTGATGGGTAGGTAAAACTAATTAAATAGGCAAGGAGTTTAATACAGTTAATGCATATTTTTCTTTGTATTATAGGGATTCTTTCAGCAGAATGAGTCTTCGAAAAATTGACTTCTAAAACAAGCACTTTGGAACCAATAAGCAACTTTTTATGGGGAACAAGACAAAAATGAGCTTTTTCTCAAGTGAAATTCCACATGACTTTTTGATGAAGGGAACATTTCTAATGAGTCGTGGCTGCCAAAGGTCTGATTTCCCAGTGAACTGGTACTAGTGTTCAGCTACATTTCCTGTTTGTAACTGATCAGGTTTTGTTTTTCCTTGTGGCATAACGGTACAAAAAACTGTTTTATCATTATTTATAGGATATGCAAAGTTAGACTGTATTTAGTTAATATTTAATTTATATTCAAAACACTTCAAAATGTAAACAAAAACATTTTACGGTACTGTCAAAAATGAGCAGCCTCACCAAATATAAGGTCACAATAAAGAAAAACTGTAAGGTAATGAACTTGTAGATAAGTGTGGAGTTATTCATTAAATGGGGAATATTCTTTGAAGGGCAACTTTTCTCCAAATCTGCTACTTTTCCTAATCCATTATGTTGCTGTTAAGTGAGTAACTCTCAAAATAACCTGCATGATATATCCATTGCAGGGCTATAAAACCTCTACAAATGGATTCAAAGTGAAGCTGCAGAAAAAGTAAACTAAAAAAAAAAATATATATATATATGGGATGTGCCGCTTTGCCCATTAACCCAATGAGTTACACAAATATTGCAGCCATATGTTACCCCTTAATTTAAAATGGATAATGAAACATCTGTGTCAAGGGGTAGTTTATGATAATGTATGTTGACTTTCAGAAGACATGTTGTTGTGTAGTATAAAACAGAATAGACTGTTTCAATAGCCAGACTCTACCCGATCATGTTGGGCACAGATTACAAATATGAATTGTTCAGTTTGGCTGGAAATGGCAAATTCCTAGTCCTGTGGGGGTTAATTTTATGTTATGAAATTAGGGCATTTTTACAAAGTTTATATTTTCATATTCAATATTTTACTTTATGTAGATTTGACCCTCTTGTCATTACACCTTTAAATGTTTACTATTGTGGACCATAAGCACAGGGATAAATGGTCTTACCACCATGTACATGCTGATATTGTTTCCCCCTGATTAAATAGATGATGGGATTTTTAGTCCCAACAGCAAGGTACAAGTTTACTTATCTAGACCATATTTTCCAAGTTGTAAAACTTTTCCCCCCTGAGGTGCTGTAGTAAATTCAGAGAGCAGAGCGGTTTGGCGACAGCATTTAAACACTCAGAAGGATGGCTGGTTGCTATATACCAACTTAGATCTATTATCTACAAGTTAATTTTCATGTTTACCCAATTATTTAGTACAAGTGTTGATTTAAAGGTACAGTCTGTTTTTCTGCACAATATTACATACAGGAAAGTTCTTTGGAATAATGAAATATTCAGGTGTTAAAACCAAATGTCATTAGGGTTGGTTTATAAAAGGTCCCTATTTATTTAGGCACAATTTTAATGCTCTTGCATTGTATATTTTGTATTGTGTAGTTGAAACCATGTATAACAAAATTAAAAGAAAATACTGAAAGGCCAAATTAATAGTTTTGTGACTGTTTATTGGTCTCTGTGTAATGTTTGTTCTTGGGCTATGAAACGAAGTCTGTGGTGTATAAATACCTCAACCAGTTGCTGCAGAAGTGATGCAATAAAGCCAATCCAGTTTTAAAAAAGGTTAAGAAATCACTGACATGCATGGTTTCCCATAGTCCCTACTTTCTTTACATATACTGGTTTTGTTAAAAATAAAGATTCTTTGTAACAACCTAACTGGTAATCTCACACTCTGACAGGCTTTCATTCACTCACATTTTTGTATTGATTGAAACCCACTCAGCATCCATACCTTTAAGAAAGCTGAGTGGGTCTTTCTCCCTGCGGCCCAGTGTGGCTGCTCTTTCTGCAGCTCTTCCTCTCCCTGCTCGCTCTCTGTAATGATGCGGGGGCGGAGTGACATATTCCAGGTCCCGACATCATTAAACAATGCGAGGGAGCAGAGAGGAGCTGCAGTAAGAGTACTGCTTGCGCGGCCTGTCCAGCGGCAGCTGCCTTCAAAGCTCCCTCGGCGGCTACATTAAAGAGCTGGCACATACCAGGTGCCAAGGCAAAATTTCTAGTTACACCTGTCTAGCTGTAAATATTTTTTACAGTTCCCTGGAAAAACTCATTTTAGAGATGAGAGAGGCATGGTGTGTGGTTATCAAGGGTTTAAGCAATATTAAATAACATTTTTAAAGTTTAGGATACGGTCTAGTGAAACATTTTGTGATACAAACCGCTTAAAGAACGAACGATTAGTCATTTTTTATACAATAGAAAACGGGATGGAAAAATAAAGATAAAAATTTAATCAGAACAGTATATTGGAACGGTTATAAGAATTATATATGCTCTGTACATTAGTAAAAAAAAAAAAAAAAAAAACTCCAGAAGCCACACTTTATAAATAGTTAAACCATTCTGGATATTCCAGAATGTGTTAAGATTATTGCCTAGATTACTTACAGGGGCCACAGTTCTTTATACAGGTAAGTGACCTGATTTTTATAATTTTTTTTTTAATTCACTTGGAATAGAAAACACTTTATTTAAAAATAGAAATTGATAAACGTAATACATGTTTAGCTGACAAATGTACACTTTGTAATCTATATATACACACAAGCAAAATACAGTAAAAGGTCACGCTGGTGAGGACTAGTTACCTAGAGCTTCGTCAAAGCCTTTAGGAGTCAAAGGAATTCTATACATATATACACATACTGGCAGTGGTAATGGTTACAAAGGGAACGTCCCACAGTGCTTAGTGTGCAGGACTGAAAGGTGTTTCTAAGTGGACAGTTTAATTGCTACTTAACTGAAGTTTAGAGAGCTGCATGCTAATTTTGTGTAACATGGCACTCTTATCAGTACAGGCCCATCCACTGCGGCTACTTTATAATGATGCCTTTATGCACGGTTTAGGTTAACATTCCCTTAAGCAGGACTCTGCAATCCATTCAGAGGTTAGAGCTTTAACTCACATGAAGCTCATACAGGGAGTTACATCTCTACACCAGCTGCATGGGTTGTCATAACATCAATTATATATATTTGCATATAGCATGTTATTGCTCTGTTATTTTCTTGTAAAACAAGAGATAAGGAGTGGATGTTGATGGTGTGCTTGGGGATATTGTACTCAGAAAGTCCCTTTCTTCTGTTACTTTCACTTCCGAATCATCAAAAAGAAGCCACTTGCCTTCATATTCTTTCAGGTTTTGCAGCAGGAATCGAGCAGCCTTCTCCAAGTTAAAGGTTGCAGAAGACCTAATTTCACTACATTCACCACTCTCAGCCTGAAGTTCCCCGTTAAAGCTGCTACTCTCTGAGGCTTTATCCTCTGGAAGCCCTGCTGAAGTTTTTTCAGCTTTGACAATTTTGTTAGGAAGATGTTCAAAGTCAGATTTACTTTTTTGGCCTCCAAGGAGGCTGACTGTGTCAGAGTTCTTTTTATTCACTTTAGCAGAGGTGCCACCACCTACTTTAAACATGACCTCACCATCATCATACCACTCGCCAGCTGCACGAGCTTCCTCTTCTGTGAGAGGCTCCGTCTTTACTGCTTCCTGTTTGCCATTCACAGTTTTCACTTGGTCGAGATCAAGTTCCTGAAGATCTGTAATTTTAACATATGCCATATAATGGCCGCTGCTTATTGTAACACCACTGTGCATTACCACTGCAAACAATCCGTAGCGATCCTTTGTTGGTTTTGTACTCCATTCCTCAAGGGACAAGTGTAATGGCGTTAGCAAAGGCGTTGTCACCTTGGAAAGCCCGCCATAACAGTCAAACCTAGAAGTAAGAAGTAATAAGTAATAAGTAATTAATAGATTCCCACTTTTGTGTTAAATCACCACTCACCTGCAACAACATTGGGTAGTCAGAATAACAAAGCCATGGATATGATTTTCTACAGTGATGGCCACTGATCTAGCTGTGCTGACTCTCACTGACATTAGCTTATCTTTGCGCATTAACATTTCTGTGTAACTGAAATGTCCACTCTCTGCCTCTTCGAGGGGTACTTGGCTACAGAAGGTTATAAATCTTCTGTAAACAGTAACAGCTATCCTTGTTCTTGCAGATAATTGTAGACCACATTTCTCATGATTTGTGTAATAGTCCACAAAAATCTGCAGTGCCACGGTTTGCGTAAATCTACCAAACACTGGAGGAGAACCTGACAGGGACCGTCAAAAGCTACATGCGTCAATTCCAATGGTTATAAATTTCAGAGCTGGCCTAATCTGAAACGTGTAAAAAATCAGTTTGAATGGTCACATTTATACCATCTAAACTTTTCCTTCCATACCTTTCTTGTAGGATACTCCATAAACCCACAGTTTTGTACTTTGAGATGTCCAGAGATATGGCAAGAATATGGAGAAAGATTTAAAGGACCACTATAGTGCCAGGAAAACACTAGTTTTCCTGGCACTATAGTGCCCTGAGGGTGCCCCCACCCTCAGGGTCCCCCTCCCGCCCAGCTCTGGAAAGGGGTTAAATCTTACCTTTTTCCAGCGCTGGGCGGAGAGCTTTCCTCCTCCGATCCTCCTCCCCCGTCGGCTGAATGCGCGCATTCAGCCGGTCACATAGGAAAGCACTCATAATGCTTTCCTATGGACGCTGGCGTGCTCTCACTGTGAAATCACAGTGAGAAGCACGCAAGCGCCTCTAGCGGCTGTCAATGAGACAGCCGCTAGAGGGAATGGGGGAAGGCTTAACCCATTCATAAACATAGTTTCTCTGAAACTGCTATGTTTATGAAAAAATGGGTTAACCCTAGCTGGACCTGGCACCCAGACCACTTCAAGCACGTGCATCTCCCCTTGCACCCCCCAGGTGCCAACATGCAAGTATCTAGGTCTTCTGGGGGTGTCTTCGCAAAAATAAACAACCCTTAATGTGTACCGCTTTACTTATAACAAAATCTCTCAGAACCCAAGAGGACAATTATCGAGAATGCAAAAGAATATTTAAGCAAGAGAAACGAAAGTGTTACATTTACTTACTCTGAACTGTTTGCGGCAAAGCACTTTAGGTGAATGGTTACAATTTCTGGTATTTTATCGAAAAGTAAACTGCGTTCAGCCTCCGTATAATGATGGCAGTTTTCACAGAAATATTTATCTTCTCCAACAATTCTTTCCACCGATGCAAATTGTGATATCGCCCACTTTAAACTCTTTGTTTCCACTCTAGGATCTGGAGAAACTAGAGATTTAAACAATGGCAGTAAATACACAAATATTTGGAACTAATGAGAAGTGCACCAAGTAACAAAATGTGTGAAATCTTGAAGATAGAACATCCATACCAGAAACTTGTCCCACATAATCTTAGCACACAATTATGCTACTCTTCATTGACCTCAAAAGAGAGACAAGCCTTATATTTTTTGCTCACACTCATAGGGCACTTTGAGCACCATAACCACCACAGGGCGCTCCAGTGGTCAAAATGCAGAGAGTCTACCAGGTCCCTTCCCGTTGTTATAAGTCAATGAGTGTTACGGACTGACTAATGTCATTTTTCCTTACCGAAAGGGTCATTCATTGGCTGAGAGCACACTGCTGACCGTTCACAACCAAGAACTAATTCTGTGCAAAAAAAAAAAAAAAAGCTACACCTCCTGCTGCCATGGGATTAATCTCTGTATGAGCAGCGTTTCAAAGCAAAACACTGGACACACATGTCCATGTCATTATCCTTTCTTGCCTTGACTTCTGTAATCCGCTTCTCAGTGGTCTTATGTGCTCCCAACTTGGCTATAATGTTAGTCTATAATGAATGCAGCGGCAAGGCTCATCTTCCTGTCCACCCACGCCTCCCCCCTCTGTCAGTCCCTACATTGGCTTCCTGTAAGATATATGGCTCAATTTAAGATCCTGACACTTTCTTACAAATCTCTACAAAATGCTGCACCCACCTGCTTATCCTCACTAATACACAAATATGTCCCATCTAGGTCCCTACACTCTGCCGGAGACCTACGTCAATCTTCTGTACGCCCACCGTTCATATGGAATGCCCTTCCCTTCTCTGTTAGACTCTCACCCAATCTCCACTCCTTCAAAAATTCTTTGAAAACGTACTTCTTTAGGAAAGTATATCAAACTGAACAGCTTTCCCTCCTTGCCCCCCCGATTCCTCTCCTGAAATGGTAATCAAAACAAAACACTAAGCCCTCAGTAAATACTATTATTATTATTTTATTATTTATAAAGCGCCAACAAATTCCGTAGCGCTGTACAATGGGTGGACACATAATTGAGATCAGACCACTGGACGTACAGGAACAGAGGGGGTTGAGAGCCCTGCTCGATGAGCTTACATGCTAGAGGGAATGGGGTATAGTGACACAAAGGGTTAAACTAGGGGAATTACATAGTTTGTTAGAGAAGGGTTTATTGAGTGCTTGGTAGGTCACTTTTGACAATTGTAGGAAAGAAGTCATGGGGTGGGGGATGAGAAACCTGTTGACAGTTTAATTGATACGCTTTAATGAAGAAGTGAGTTTTCAGAGATTTTTTAAAGGAGTGGAGGCTGGGTGAAAGTCTGATTGAGGAGGGAAGGGAGTTCCACAGAATTGGGGCAGCCCTGGAGAAGTCTTGAAGGCGAGCATTAGAGTTGGGGATCCAGGCAGAGGATAGGCGTAGGTCTTGGGCTGAGCACAGGGGTCTCGACGGGACATACTTGTGTATGAGGGAGGATAGGTATGTTGGAGCAACATTATGTAGGGATTTGTAAGCAGTACTATCCTAACAACCTACTTTTCTACCCTTGGTTTTTGTGTCACTATACTCCCACTCCCTCTAGCATGTAAGCTCATTGAGCAGGGCCCTCCTGTGAGTCCAACAGGTCTGGTTACAAATACTTGTCTGTTAGTCCACCCATAGTACAGCGCTGCGGAACTTGTTGGCGTTTTATAAATAATACAGATTTCAAGCACCATGACCACATCAAATCACTAAAGTAGTCATAGGACTTGCAGTAACCATTTAACAGATTTTTAATTGAATGACTGATATAAGCCTTCTCCTTGAAGGTTCCTGAATAGTAACAGTCTTTCTATACAAATGGTATTTTCACAAACTTTCTAAATAATTACAAAACATGAAACAGACAACTTTAAATTCCAGTTTACCAGGCTCTTAAGTAAATACACGCATAAGGGGAACTACTGTAATTTCTGACTTGCTGTTGGGTTGTCATAATTATGCTTGATAATGGTGTAAATTGTGAACTTACCGTCAGATGAGTCCTGTTCTTTACTGGACTCGTTCTCCTGCACAGGCACACTGATATCCTGAAAGTCTTCTCTCCTCTCTGTGAAACTCTCGCACTCTAGACATCGCGTTCTCAGCACGAGCTGGCCTTGGAACAATTTCTCCACCAGTTCAAACTCAGATGACTCTACAATTGTCAATCATATTTCACATCAGTATACAAATTCCCACCATCATACAGTAAACAAAAACCTATGCATATAAAAATAACGACTTCATACTGGCCAATAATTTTAGACGAGATGTTTAAACAAAATTCTTAAAAGCATTGCATTTTAAAATGAGTACAGCTTAATTCAGGTTTAAGTACCTGTCTAGCAAAAATATAGCAATGCTAGTACTGCAACCTTAGAAGTTAAAAGGGACACTATAGTCACCAAAACAACTTTAGTTTAATGAAGCAGTTTTGATGTATAGATCATGACCCTTCAGTCTCACTGCTCATTTAGGAGTTACAATTACTTTTTTTATGCACCCTAGTCACACCTCCCTTGCACAGACTAACATTTCCTGTAAAGAGTCATCTGCTTACACTTCCTTTATTGCAAATTCTGTTTAATTTAAAATTTCTTATCCCTGCACTGTAAATAGCATGCTAAACCTTGCAGGAACATCCTGTGTGTGATTAACGTTCAATTTAGAGAGCAGGAAAAACTTTTAAATCAAGTTACATCTGATTGAAAGTGAAACCATTTTGTCGTCATGCAGACTGTTAGTCAAAGCCGGTGGAGGTGTGGCTAGGGCTGCATAAACAAAATTAAGTGATTTAACTCCTAAATGGCAGTGAATTGAGCAGTGACACCAAGTGCTTCATTAAGCTAAAGTTGTTTCGTTGACTCTAGTGTCTCTTTAATTATACCAAGAGACATAGCATGAGGCAATACAGAAATGTAGAATGTATGGGATAGGTGTAAGGAATTGCATAACTGAGGCTGAGCGTGTCAAAGGTGTTCTAGTCCCGGTTAGTTTATCATCTCTTGTAAATTATGCTCTTGTACAGTTTTAAAAAGATTATAGAAATGCAGAGATTTTATCGAGACACTTCACTGGTACATCTAATCACCACAACATAAAGTGCAGCCACTGAAGCACACTTTCTATTGCCACAAATAATAATGGACACACTACATTTATGAAGGTTAAATACACTGCATAGAATGGCAGTGCTCAGTTTCTTTTTCAGAAGCAGAAAAATAAATGTTGGTGATACCAGTAAGTCCAGTCTGATCATTTTAAAATCAACCTAAAACATCTATTTTCAGGTAAACTTTACAACTACCACTTCAATTTGCAAGTATTTACAGTCATTGTACAAGCATGTTTTAGACTGGAAATTTCAACCTATTATTCCTTGTTTCCACATCTGGATGATACTCACCATTCTGGGAGGATGCCACGGTTGCATTGTCTGTGTGACTGGATTTCTCAGAGTTACTTTGATCATTTACGCATTTTTCATTTTCCGATTCGGCACTGTTCTCACTGGTTTCTGTTTTGGTTGAGGAATTTGTATGTTTGCTCAAGTTACAGAACTTGGATAAAATGCTTGTCTGCTTATTAGATCGCAGCCAGTTCAATCCAAGCTTTGATTTTTTCTGTGTTGGATTGGACACGCTATTTTCAATTCCTGCTTTTTGTACTGGGTTTGTTTGTTGATCTGTTTTTTCTTGTGACTTCCTCTTTGACCTGGTCAATCTGTGTTCTTCTGGTGGTAGTTCCTTTATTAATTTTGTCTTTTTCTTTGCATTTCCAACCTCATTATCACTTTTTCTTTTTCCATTTTCATTTGTCTCAATTGTGACTGCACTATTATCACATCCATTGTCGTTGCTGTGAGTGACAGATCCAGTTTCAACACCTTGCACATTCGCATCAAGTTTGGACTCTGCTGCTGTATCTGGGACCTGTTTTTTGGTGTCTGCCAACTGCAAACTTTTCACTTGTTCTTTCTTCAGGGCTTGGCATGCTTCCTGAATGTTTCCCAAAATACACTGGAGAACCTCCTGAGCGTCATGTTGTAAATAACCCTCATACATAGGGTTAAGTTCCCTTTTAAAATAAAATGGATTTCAGTAAATATATATATTTTATTTTAAACAGCATTGTCAATCAAAATAGATATTATGAAAACACATTTCAATGAAATTACATTGCACACTTAACACAAAATAGAGACTGCCTTATGCATGCAAAAAAAAAAAAAAAAAAGAATGAGTTTTAATGTGTTTCCATGTGCCATTTCTTGTGGCAACTAATGGGAAAAGGCATCTCACTGTGCAAGAAGATTCAACAGAACCAGTTTTGAAATCTTGCACATGTTCTCTCAATGCCAAATAGGAGATCAAATAGCATTTAGACTAAACAGAAACAAAGCAGAGTGCAGAGCCATTGTAGCTCCCGCAGTACACACGTGATTCATCACTAACAGATCTTAAAGTAAAGATACCGTTTTTATATTTTTACTAGAAGTTTGTAGAATGCAATGCATAGATTAAAATGCATGCTCTATAAATACAGATCTATTAACAATGTTAGTTGTATCTGAGACTATTGAAATCTCCATTTAAAAATAAAAATAATAGCAAATGTGACTGCAGCATAAGATTTCCCTGCTCATGACTGTTCTTTTTGTCTGGAGAGTGTCTTCTATAACAAGAGCAGGGCTTGATGTGTGCCTTTAAGGCATTCCAGGGAACATAGCATGAATGTGCATTGAACACACACGCACAAAAGGTTATACTATTCTTGTGACAGGTCTGCTTTAAACAAATAAGCGAATTAAAAAAAAAAAAAAAAAATTCTACCAAAGTGTTCCGGTTATGTTTGTTTTACCAGCTTGCATCATATCTGGATTACAGCTGAACTTACCTCAGTGTGTTTAGAAGTCTTCTGGGCTGAGTGGCAAGTTCAGAATCATAACCATCTGGATTGGAGAGAAAATTGAGCTGAAGACGTTCAACGGAATGGATTAAAGAGCTTAAGCTGCAGATCACCTCATAACTCGCAGGAGGATCGTCTTTTGTGCTGCCCTGGAATTACGTCAACAATTTTGTTTATTTTTGTAAAGAGTGTTTGGTTTTTATTTAATACAGAAAGCAATTCCTCTGTTTTTATTTTGGCATTCTAGTAAAAATACTTTCCAAATTATCACAGCCCTAGTTCCTGATTTCCATTTAAGTTGACTGGAAATATATCTCACATATCTACAGTACCAAGCTATGAACTACAAATATAACTTAGACCAATAATATAATGTTACCTTGTCAAATTCTTGTTCGTTTTCTTCTTTTGGCTTTTCCCGCTTTTTAGAAATTACATCACACAATTGTTTGATTCCACTTTTAAATCCGGGACAGTAACATAATACCTACGGCACAATTTGCAAATAAAACAGGTCAAAACATTTTCTTATTACAGACTGTAAAACAATCAGGAGGGCAAGGTGCTGAGGGAGGAGCAAACATTCGAAGTTCTGCATTACAAGATTGTTCCGGAGTGTTAAGATTCATATTAACATTTAATGGGACACCACATTTTAGGTGTGATGTGTAGAATAGGCTACTGATGTCTATGTTTGGTACTTTGTGAGAGTGGAGTACACAATTTCTTTAAGAAAATAAATCTTAATATTACAGATGCAGTTTTGTGACAGTTTGCACAGCCAGATTTATGAGAGTTGAAGGTTTAGCTGCTTCTACTAAAGGCTGTACAGACCGCAGTTAACACAATAAAATATAATTGAAAATATATGCAATCCAGTTCTCAACGAAAATAAATATATATATATATATAAAAAGCTAAGCAATTCGCCAGCTATAAAACTTTCAGTAAAAAGCTAAATTGCTAAGCGTAACTCCCATACATCTGTGCTGTGTAGGTATTTACTGGATATGCACATCGCCTCAGGACTTCACTAGAACGTTAACAGAGATACAGAATTGGGTAAGCCACAAGTGAGTGTCCCTTAAAATTATTGGTACTGCTAAAGATTTAAATAAAGACATATGCACATAATTCACCTATGATTATAAATAGCAGCAGTTATATAGGTACCTGGAGAATGCTGTTAAGATAGCAGGTATTGCCAAGGTTGTTGAACCCTACAAAGGGAACTAGGCTTTCTTTTTTAACACAGCACACAGAAGGGGATTCTTGTGCAGCAGGAACAACCTGATCACAACTTCTGAGAATGAAAATAAACACAATTAGTCATATCTTCCAAAATTGCATTACATGTTAAAATACATCAGATATGAATCTGTGTTGTATGTATTATAGTTGAATAAATCTAAATGTAAACTCATAACCCAACTGTACACACATCTATGCACGGAAACTAAGGAATGGGGGGGGACTAGCATACATCGCACGATGGGAAAGAGATCTTGGTGAGGAACTTGATGGAATAGAATGGCAGGAGATCTGGGAGGCGAGCAGAACCACCTCGGTATGCAGGACATTACAGGAACAATCCTTTAAAATGATGTTCCAATGGTATACGACCCCAGTTATGCTATTCAAAATGTACAAAAACACTACAGACGAATGCTGGCGGGGATGTGGGGAAAAGGGGACATACCCACACATGTGGTGTGAGTGTCCTAAGATTGCCAGGTTTTGGATGGCCATAAGGGACCTAACAAGTTTTTTCCAGAGCCCCCCGGATATGGACCCTTGGGTATATCTAGTGAACAGATCTATTGATGTCTGGACTAGAAGGGAGCAAAAACTAATTCACAAATTTACTCTAGCTGCAAGAAGAGCTATAGCACACACAGCTACAACCAGATATGCCACACATAGCAAGGGTTATAACGAGAATTAGGGAAGTACGCTTAATGGATGATCTGACTGCTAGGGTTAGGGGGACCATGGGGGCGTTCCAGAAACTGTGGGAGCCGTGGGATGATAGCCCATTGAGCACTTAGGTGCCGGGAGGGTCTTCATGAATGTGCCTCGGTCCCCCTCCTCCCTCCCGACGCGTGTTTAGTTATCCCGACTTTTCTTTTCTTTGTCTCTTTTTTTCCTTCTTTTTCCTTCTCTTATATTGTATTTCATGTCTTGCTCTTTGAACCTCTTTTTTTTTTTTACTTTCTTATGTTTTAGTATATCACAGCCCTGGCCTTCACAGGGCAAGTAGCAAAAGAACTACGGATACATGGATCTCTATTTGTTTCCAACAGAAAGCACAATTTGTACTGTACATACTTGTCAGCTTATATAGACACTACTACTACAGCTAACTAAGTACCTGAGTTTCTGTTTGGAAACATTACTTAAAAATGTACATGCCTATCAGGCCAGCCACGAAAAGTTTACTGTACAACGTTATTTGTTATAAAATGTGTCTTATCGGCTTGTATTAATGTATTGCACAACAAATATAAAAAATATATACATGGTAAGCGGCAAAGGCTCACAGATACTGATGGCCTTGCACTAGCTTGCTGAGAATAAGAGCTGGTTCTCATATAAACATGATATTACCTATAATCAACGTTACTTTTGAAGCCAATGTACCTGCTTTTGTGTTCAAACAAAAATGTAAAAATGTGCATCTAAGCCAAGCCAGTCCCGATAACGCTACTGTAGAATGTTGCTTGTTACATGACATGTGTACAGGCTTTGTCAGATTGTGATTTTGCAATGCACAACAAAAATAAAGAATTAAAAAAAAAAAAAAAATTAAATGTAAAAGGGAACTGTCACTGCTCTCTATGCTTTCTCTAAGCTGACTGTTTGTTGCAAAGGGCAGAGCTTATAACGAATCTTGATCTCATTCAAACCAAATCATTAGAAGGCAAGTGTGCATGCACACCAATACTCTATTAAGCCATCTAATTGAATAGCCAAGTTTAACTGTTATTGGGGTGGATGTGTCTCTAGTAGCGGTCAGTGTGACAGCCACTAGAAGCATGTTAATCCTGCAATTTAAACATTGCCATAAAACAGCAGTGTTTTTAGTTGACCAGGACATGGCACGCAGACCACTTCATTGAGATGACAGTCTTTGTGCCTATAGCGTCCCTTTAAAGAAATTAGATGGGATGGTAAAGACACACAGACTAGGAAGTTTAGGCTCCCAAACTCAGTAGTACGCATGCAGTTGATGGTTCAGATGCTCCTCCTGGAAGACTGATGAATTTAACATGCACAGGAACAGAAATACACCTACTCAGTTCTGCTGTCAGTTAAAATGTTATCAATGTATTTCAAGCCAAGCAGTTGGTTTTATGATCTTGGTACGTTCACAGGATCAATAGATGACTGCATAACATTTCCTATTAACAGCACCACTTACATGTACACAAATCATGTTGGTATTCAGCACATGTTAGTTTTATTCCAGTGCAAGGTGAAGCCTTGCCATAGAGGAGCATGATGCAAAAAAAAAATTAAAAAAAAATAAATCAGAACATCTCTCTCTCTCTCACACTCACACACACACACACACACAAGCATATAAATTATATTTCCTACATTTCCGGCTCCTTCTCCTCCATATTCTGGCTTTCAGTTGACTGTGTATCAAAATCAAGAGCTCTTTTTGGTTCTCTCTTCTGGAAGAAGCGCAAAGACAGTCTGCTCTTTTTCGTTGGGCTGGACTTTGCCAACACAGTCTGACTTTCACATTGGGTGACACCAGGCATTTTTGTGGCGCAGTGGTGCCTCTGATCAAAAAAAGAGTGCCTATAGGTAAAAGGGAGGAAAAAAAAACAAACATGGTATTGCTTTTAGAAATGACAGAATGCATCAATTTCAGTACCATCTAATACAGCATGATATTAACACTTCTTGAGTGTAGCAATTCCAAGAGAGTTTTCGAATTTCTCCTAAACATGATGTCTCTATTGGCAATCTTTCAAGTGTTACACCCAAAACATTTGCAATTTCCATGGACCTTGAAGAATGGAGTTTATATCCCCACTATTAGAACATAAAATGTTACTTGTGGAAGTATATGCGGATCTCTGGAATAACTGCACTGTATTTTTTTTTGCAGAATAACAGTTTGATTATTACAGTCCTTTCATTGTATCACATACTGCTGTGCAAGACCTGATTAACTGCAGTGACATTCTCGTCTAAGATAAATTAGGTAGTGATGGCTAACCATGGAATGGTTGTTTACAGACTACGAAAACACTAAACACTAACGCACAAAGGATAAATAAGTCAAAGATATTCGACACCACACTTATTTACAGGCCGTGAAACAGCAGTTAATTTTCGTACTTGGTAGGTTATGTATGAAGAGTAATTCTTAAAAAAAAAAAAAAATAAATAAATAAATAAAAAATTCTAATAGTAATTAAACCACCTTGAAAAACCAATGCAGTGTTTCTGCTGATTGCTCCAATTCTAGAACATTTGCCCCCAAATTAATCTTTATACATAACCTCTATTAGACATTGGAAATGATTTTGTGTTTGTAGTTTTAATAGTTACGTGTAAGGTCATTTTACAATTAACAGCACTCCTTGGCAATTACTAACAAGTTTTTAAAAGGTACGGGAGACAAAATGAAGAGCATACAGATGTTATCCTACATTCAAAATGAGATTTTAAAAAAGGTATGTCAAACAGTTTGGTTTATCTACCTTACATGTAAATCATGGTCCTCACAAAGTACTTTCTATTAAAAGTTTAAAGGGCCATAACGTGCAGTATTTTACTCTACATGACGTGCAAAGGAGTTATTAAGTGGCAATAGAATGGAATGCCTTAAAAAAAATAAAAATAAAAGAGAACACACTGAAATTTCATCCCACACATTGCAAAGGCTGTTCTAAAAATGTATATAGTCTGCAAAGTAAGTTTTATTTTAAATGCAAATCACATGGGAGTTTTAACACACACTTCTTGGTATAAGATGGGTTTTTAGCAATGTATATCACTATTAATATAGGACACTTGACAATTCTACAATGGGGGGGAATTTAGCAATGTGGAAGTAGTTCAGGTGTTGAGGGGCCCTCACTGGCCCCAGGTGTGTGTGGCCCCTGAGGGCCGGGACTCCCAGCTCCCACATGGCCGAGCAGCCCTCACACAGCCCGCGGGGACAGCTACCTGCCGGCCTCGCCACACCCGTCCCCGACTTGGGGGGAAAGTAATAACCACTAACCCAGGGGTCTGGTCACATTCCGCCGTCTGCCAGGCCGCACCGCCAATACCGGAACCCGCCTTTCCCGACCACACGTCATCAGCCGGCGCACCCTGCCACTTCTACTCCTCAGTCGCGGTAAAACAAAGCAGCCCGCAGATTGGTGGAATGCGGTCACGTGGGCAAGCCCTCGGCACGTACACCGAGGGGCGGGGACACGTGACGCGAGAACGTGGCCGCTCCGCCATTGGTCGGGGGAAGAGCTAGTGGTTTGAAAGGCAGTGGCGGTTGCAAGGAGCTGGCAGTTGGGAGATTTGGCGGGAAAACGCTCTGTAGAGGAAAGCCAGTGCTTTCTGACTGAGCGTAAAAATCACTCCATGGGGCTATTCACTAAACTGGGAAAAATCACTCCCTGGGGCTACTTACTAAACTGGGAAATGCATGCTTTAAGCTTTAATAATTCTTCCAAATCAACTAGAATTTACTGTATTCACAGTTTAGTGAATACACAGCCAACATCGAGGGTACTATATGCATTGTATTTTTCTGCACACATGGCAACCTACCTGCTGGGAGGAGACACAGGAAAATCACTGGTTTATAAAAAAATTTTTAAAAAATTACAATCAATCTGCTGCAGAAAGAAAGTTAATTAAACAAAGATTTGTTTCAGGAGCCAATATTTGTTTATGAATTTACTTACCTCTTACAGCATTGGAAAATAAATACACAGTACAGCTAGGGCAGCACTCTTTATGAACTGATCAACAGGATAAATAAAAGAAGCAAGGTTACACACTCTAGTATTAATATTTTTGTTTTATTAAAGGGGTACTTTGCACTATAACCACTACAGTATGCAATGGCCGCGGGAGTGCCTAGGTGACAGAACTGTAATCTGCCCAAACTGTTTGCGAATGGATTGACACTTCCCTCACTACGAAGACCATTTTGTTATTATTGTTGGCGTTTATGCAGCGGCAACGTTTTCCGCAGCGCTTTTACACTGTTATAAAGAGGGAAACAAACAATAAATGAGACAATTACAAAATGTTATAGGGATTGGTTGAGGAGGACCCAGCTAAAACAAGCTTACAATCTAGAGGAGATGGGGTATAAACAAATACAACAGAGAGGGCAGAGAGGGGAAGTAGCAGAATTGGAGGTGTCAGTGGAGTGGGGCCATTTAGGAGAGAACAAGATTTGTAACAGTTTTTCTGAGAGACCATAAGAATTTTTTTTGAGGGTCTTCTTAAATGACTGAAGACTAATGGAGAGTTTGATGGGGGGAAAAGCATACTGTTCCAAAGAAATGGAGCCGTCCGTGAGAAGTCCTGCACATTAGTAGTAAGGGTGCGAGCAGTGACCAGGATACGGTCACCGGCAGAGGGGAAGGACTGGGAATAGATGTACCTACAAATTAGGGAAGAAATGTAACAGGGGCTAGAGATATTTAGGGTTTCATAGGTAAGGGTTAGTATTTTGAATTGATTCCTATAGGGTACAGAAAGCCAATGTAAAGATTGACAGAGGGGCGAGGTGTGAGAGGAGCAAGCGGATAGAAAAATCAGCCTTTCAGCAGCATTCATTAGAAACTGTAGCGAGGTAGTTCGGTTTCTGGTGAGACCAACAACGACAGAATTACAGTAATCAATACGAGAAATTACTAGAACATGAACAAGCTCCTTCTTGGGTAAGAGGTGGACATGGCAATGGTTTTAAGGTGGAAATGACAGGATTTGGCAACAGACTAGATATGAGGTGCAAAGGCAAAGCCAGAATCAAAGATAATACCAACACCGCAAGCCTGCGAGGACGGGCTGATGCAGGTACCATCAACTTGCAGGGCGAGCAAAAGAAGAGGATCAGTATTACGAGGAGGAAAAATAAGCTTAGTTTTAGAGAGATTGAGTTTAGGAAAGCGAGAGAGATGGGAGAAAGGCAAGCAGTAAAGTGTTCTTGGACTTTGGGGCAGAGATCAGATGGGAAGAGATATCAGCGTGTCATTGGCGTACATGTAGTAGCGGAATTTGAAAGAATGAATACGTTTTCCAAGAAAGGCAGAATAAAATGAAAACATAAGGGGACCAAAAACAGAGCCTTGGGGAACTCCAACGGAGACAGGACAAGGGGAGGAAGTGTCATTATAAAAGGAGACATTGAATGAACATGGGAGAGATAGGATGAGAACCACGGGAGGACAGCGTCACGGAGAGTGAAGGATTGAAGAATCTAAAGAAGCATGATCACTAGTGATGTCCCGAACGGTTCGCGAACGGTTTGCCATAGACTCTTCATTGAGTAAACTTTGACCCTGTACCTCACAGTCAGCAGACACATTCCAGCCAATCAGCAGCAGACCCTCCCTCCCAGATCCTCCCATCTCCTGGACAGCATCCATTTTACATTCATTGTGAAGCTGTATTCTTAGTGAGCTGTCCAGGAGGTGGGAGGGCCTGGGAGGGAGGGTCTGCTGCTGATTGGCTGGAATGTGTCTGCTGACTGTGAGGTACAGGGTCAAAGCTTACTCAATGATGAGTCCGTTGCGAACCGTTCGGGACATCACTAATGATCACCAGTGTCAAAGGAAGCAGACAGGTCTAGAAGAATTAGTGTATAGTAGTGGTCTTTGTATTTAATATATTAATTATTTTAAATCAGAGCGCTCTCAATAAATGAAGGGTTCAGAAGACATGTTTTTGAAGAGGGTTGAGGAGAGAGCTGGAGTAGAGAAAGCATGCCAGAGGGTAAGGGGCATAGGACAGTAGTTAGAAGGGGAAGACCGGTACAACAATAGCATGTTTAAGGGGAGTGGGGACAATGCTGGAGGAAAGAGAACAGTTGTAGATAGGTGTTGAGGACGGCACAAGACAAGGGAAGAGAGATCTGATAAGGATGGTGTGGGATCAGGTGGACATGTCTCCTGTTCAGTAGCCAGGGAGAAGCCCCAAAGAGGATGAAATGCATGGTCCAAGTGTGTCTGAGGGAGGGTTCTTCCCTTAAAGGACCACTATAGTGCCAGGAAAACATACTCGTTTTCCTGGCACTATAGTGCCCTGAGGGTGCCCCCACACTCAGGGTCCCCCTCCCGCCGGGCTCTGGGGGGAGGAAGAGGTTAAACTTACCTCTATCTCAAGCGCCGGGCAGGGAGCTCTCCTCCTCCTCTCCTCCTTTTCGGCTGAATGCGCATACACGGCAGGAGCTGCTCGCGCATTTAGCCAGTCCATAGGAAAGCATTCACAATGCTTTCCTATGGACGCTGGCGTCTTCTCACTGTGAAAATCACAATGAGAAGCGCGGAAGCCCTCTAGCGGCTGTCAATGAGACAGCCACTAGAGGCTGGATTAACCCATTTATAAACATTCTCTGAAACTGCTATGTTTATAGAAAAAAGGGTTAAACCTAGACCACCTCATTAAGCTAAAGTGGTCTGGGTGCCTATAGTGGTCCTTTAACTGGTTATTTTTCTCAGTTAAATGAACACTATAAACCATCCCAGACCTAGCAGGGCAGTCCTAGTTCAGGAAACCTATCTTTCAGTCCTGGTTACTGTGACACAAACTTGCAGTCATGTTACTACATCCTTAAAGGGTTACTCCCAGCACCATGACCACATCAGCGATTTCAAGTGTTTATGGTGGCTGGAATCCTGTATGTATAGCTTTAGAGTTTAAACCCTTAAATGCCTGTGGTGTCACTCCACCTCCAGCAGGGTCATTAGCCAGCATGTAACTCTGTACTTCCTATGCATTTTTCTATACACAGAGTTGCATTAATTGGGTAAGAGCGACCAGCTCCCTGTAACATGCATAAATACTTTAATGATCTGCGGATGCTTGGATCATTAGCAAGCTGGTAAATTGCACGTGTTAGCTTGGCATACATGGCTATACAGGGTTTTATACTAAAGTTAGAATCAAAGAGAATTTCACATTTGAGGCCAAAGTAGTCGAACTGAAAGCATGATTGACTTAGAGAATGTTTCCAGCTCAGCTATTTTAACCTTGAAATTCTCTTCAAATTCACTTATAATTCTCACTTTAGTGAATAATCCTGTTAATGTCATGTAAGTCCCTCAAGTACACCCGTTATAACATGGAGTGTGTTCCTGATACACCTACCCCTGTCCTGATTAGTAAGGGAAATAGGTTTGCATGTATGCAAGCATATATTGCCAGACCATTCCAAGCAATGTGGTAGTACAAATTTCCAAAGTGCCAGCAGCACAACATGACAACTTTCCTCTGTACGTGCTCATAACACAGCTCATAGTATAGCTGAACGTGTAAAACATGCAAATATACAACCTGTAATGGAATGCTATAGGTGTATCCATGTATTGGTAAAATGTGTCTGCTAGACGCTAGTAAATTACTGATGGGTGGCACGTCACATTGGAATAGATCGGTTAAAGGTTTAGTTGTAAGATTTTGTAAAATTTAATAGCCAGCATGGGGAAAAGTTATTCACAAAAGACAAGCCAGCTGCAAACATCACTTCCCCCAACCAAACAAGACTGTCTGAGCAGTTGCTGTTACAAATGGCTGACTTACTGTAAACATTTAGCAACTGGCTAGTGCTAGGCACCAGCATGTAACTACCTCCTCATATCAAGCCTCCTCAATGTCACTTGTTCAAGTTTGGATATCAGGTTACACGCTCCTGTTCAGACCTGAACAATACACTTAAAAAAGCACTTTGTGCTAAATGAAAATTTGTATTGTTATTTAAAATAAAATATGTAATGTATCTGTGCACTATATTGTAATGCATATACTACATCTTTTCAGTGCATCTCCTGGCTGACCTTTGGGGGTGGCCTTCTTTATGTATTCTTAGCTCAAACCCCCACATTTACAACCAAAGATCACGCAGGTAACAGTGATACTGTGTTTTCACAAATCCTCACTCGCTCAAGTTCAAGGCACTTCAATACACTCGGATTGCACTTATCTGTGCAATGGGCGACTAAAACTAGCTCAAATAGGTCACACCAAAAGAGCAAGGTTTTTATTATACCTTAGGCAAAAAACTATTTTCCAGCTCCCTGGTTTATACCATCTCTATTCACTCTGTTTTTCTTCGATCTCTCAGTCTGTTAATCTTTTTCCTCACTAGCAGCATTTTGTCTCTTCCTTGCTACTTTTTATCCTCAGATGTCCCTTCTCCACCTCAGTTTATCAATGAATTGTGGCAGGCACTCACTAGAGACTTAATTTATTTTTTTCTTTTCATTATATGACTCTGGATTTTATAGGGTCTTTAAATATTACTTATAGTGTCAGGAATACAAACTCAATCGCAGTCAATCCAATGCTTTCCCATAGGAAAGCATGGTGTGAAGCAAATGGACTTTAAAATGACATTTTCTTCTTTATTCGGTATTTTTCCTGTGTACTACCTGTATAGTGAATGTATCCGTTCGTTAGTTTGAAACTACCGAACGCCGACCACCCTCCTGGCTTGTTAACTACAAAAGGAACCAGCTATTAAGTGCTCCCTGGGCGGCGCTGTTCGTATAGCCGAATGCCACGTGGAATAGAAAATGGCGGCCATCTTGTTCGCACGAGGGGAGTCAGCGGGACTTGGTCGTCGAGTGTCTGGAACTAAAATCGGACACTCGACCTCGCGAACCACCGCTGAATCTACCGAACGCCGGCTTCTTGTATTTCCCGAACAGCCAGGGAAGCGCTTTTCGGTAGTTCTATGCGAACGGACAAGGGGAGCAATCACTGCTAAGAGCCAGGGGGATCCATCGGGACTTTTGTTCGGTTTTTGTGTATTTGTGAATTGACCAACCACACACTCTGAATTCATGGAACCTTTTTGGGCAGAAGCCGCGTGTGTGGTCGGTAAAAGGGACCCTCCACACTTTTTTAGAACCCCTGAACGGATCTGGGTGAAATTTGGATATGTTTGTCCCCCAGATCGGGGGTATGTAATTTGTGGGGATACCTTGTGGGGAAAGAGGTGTTCTGTGTTTTGGGGAAATTGTGTGCTCTCTGCCTGGAGATAATTGGTTTAGTCCTTAACTTATCTCAATATCTCCCAGGCAGAGAGGAGGCGTGTATTACTGTAATTCTGTACGTTGATTGGTTATTGTCTTTGTTTGCTGTGGGAGGTCCTCTTGCAGGAGGATTTCTCATAAAAGCCTGTGTGTGTCAATAAAATTCATTCCTGTTACACCCGTCATGAAGTCTAGGCTCATGTTTGGGGGATATTCTACTTGCTGGGAAGAATCACCTTGGAACTGCATTTCATCTACCTTATTCCTCTACTCCCTGCTGCAGCTATAATCACTCATGCTCAGCTGTTGGGAAAAGGAACAGAAGACCGCAGCACCATAACCACTGCAGGTCTTAACACATGACAAAACGCTGCGCTAATCAGCATCTCCTCTATAGGGAATGTTCAGCGCATTCATGGAGATAATGAAAGAAAGTGCGACCCAGGAAGCACCTCTAGTGGCTGTCCGAGGTGTTCCAAGGCAGTAATGTCAACACTGCCTTTTCTCTGAAAAGGCAATGTTTACATTAAAATGCCTCCAGAGCAGGCTATAGATACCAGAATAAATACATTAATATAAAGTTGTTCTGGTGAGTATAGTGTCCCTTTAGGTTTGTCATCTTTTAGTTTAACTAACCATGTGTTCTGTTATAAAATTGTTTCTTGTGAAGTTTATTCACTAAACATTGAAAACAAGATTGCAAAATTGATATTTGTCTGTCATTCAGTGATATGTGTCATTCTGTGACTAAAGCCTTTGACTGGTTTGAATTGTGTGAATACACCTAATTACTTTTCTTTTACAAAATAGAACTCTAAAAATTTTTATAACATATTTAATAATGAATACAGTGCGACATAACACTTATATCACATTGCTTTAAAGGGTATTTAGCAAAAACCAACAAAAATCATTTTGTGAGAAATAGAAATGATTAAAACTACACACATTTAAAAAAAAAATTAATACCTGCCACTAATAAAAATCTCACGAAATATTTTAACTTAATCAATTTTATAATGGTTAATATTGTATAATTGAACTCTGGAATACAACTTATGTACACAGGTGTACTGGCTCCCTCTGCAGGAAGTTCAGAGGTAACGACACCAAGTGAGAAGTAGAAAATATAAGTTGAAAGCCCAGAATCCAACCTGTGTACACAGGAGTACGTGCTCCCTCTGCAGTCTTTTCAGAGCCAATGACCCTAATATAGGATTAGAAAACAGGTCAATGTCAAGCACTATTGATCTATAATACAACTTAGATACTCAAGTGTATGTGTGCGCTCTGTAGTCTGGTAAGAGGTAGTGACAATGAGAGCGGATAACAAAATAGGACAATATCAAGAGTTACAATTCAAATATAAAAACATTAACAGATCTATTAAAACGAGAATTGTCGGGCATTCAAAGTAAATTTGAGGGCAAAATAGCTGACGCCTCAATTTAATAAGCTTTCCAAATGATTCCATACGGTTAGAAAGAAAGAAAAAAAACTTTCCAAATGATTTATCTACAAATATTCACATGGACCTTAATGGTGACTTTTGTAGATACATCATTTGTTTTTCTAACAGTACTGAACCATGTGGAAAGCTTATTACAGGGATACAATAGGCATGAAAACAACAATAGTGGAAAGGGCTTAAATATGAATAATAATCCCCCCAAAAATCAATCCAATGTAGATATAAGTGTGCATTAATAAAAAATAAAAAAAAAATACAAAACACAATGTGTATAGAAAACCAGCAGCACCCACTCCAATGTGAAACACAAATTCAACAAAATATTGGTGTGCTTGGAATTATACTTAAAATAATACTCTCACAATAAACTATGTAAAGAATAATGCAAACACATAATAGTGCAGACAATCTATTTACATATATGAATTTAGTGAATTAATGTAAAGCCTAATCTATCCTGGCTCTGGGTATTAATGGCTCCACTTGAGAGGGATATATAACAGCTCCCCTGATCTCCAGCCACACAGCGTCTTTTACTTAAATAATGAACAGGGAGAGGCAAGAAACAACAGGAACCCAGTGGCACTGAATCAATACACTATTCTTAAAATACACAATAAAATGGTGAGCCCTCAATCGGGTACCAACAATCTCGCTCAAACAGATTAATAAAAGTCAATCATAAGCAGTTCCTTCTGGGTTCTGCTATGTTTCGATCACTTCGGGCTCTCCACCATATCCAGTGAGGCACAAGGAAGGATCTGTTGTTCATTATTTAAGGCAAAGACACTGTGTGCCTGGAGAGCCAGGATAGATTAGGCTCTGGAGCATGTGAGTGTGATCACAAGATCACTAAATTCATCTATGTAAAAATCAGATGGTTTGCACTATTCGGTGTTTGTATTATTATTTACAGAGTTTATTGTGAGAGGATTGTTAAGTATAATCAACACAACTTTTTAGCTTAAGAAAACAGTTTTGGTATATAGATCATGCTCCTGCAGTCTCGATGCTCAATTCTCTGCCATTTGGGAGTTAAATCACTTTTATTGCTGTTCACGCAACCCTAACCACATCTCCCCTGGCTGTGACCGACAGCCTGCATGGAAAGAAAGGTTTCATTTTCAATCAGATTTAAACTTACTTTAACCATAACTCACAAGAGACTCCTGCAGGATGTAGCAGACTTAACAGAGCAGGAGAAAAAATTAAGCAGACTGTGCAATAAAGGAAGTTTAAACATGAGTTCTCTCTTTGCAGGAAGTGTTTATTAAGGCTGCATGAGTCTCATGCAGGGAGGTGTAGCAGGGGCTGCATAAACAGTTAAGAGATTTAACTCCAAAAAAAATGGCAGAGAATTGAGCATTGATCTATACATCAAAACTGCTTCATTAATCTTAAGTTGTTTTGGTGACTACAGTGTCCCTTTAAAACAAGACGTAAATTGGAAAAATTATCCAGTCCAGTTATTTTGGTCTAAATTATTTCATCTGAATTCCAGACAATTCTCACTTTAGTAAATAAACCAGATATTGTCAGACTTGTTTACAGTCAAAAAATAATTCCAGGTAAAACATAAGGATCGTGTAATAAAATATTTGTTCTGTTTTGTTTAATGCTTATATGGTTATTTTACAATGTCTTTAACCCATGCTATTTAAAAAATTTAACCATAAACGTAATTTTGTTAAAAATGTAGAAATACAGAACTTTAGAAAAAGAAGATTTATGGATGGAATTAATTTCTTTCGGATAAAGTTAATTTTGAATTACTGATAACATTACAGGATGTTGCTGTTTGTGATGTATATGATAACCAGGTACTGCTGGCCATGCTCTGGTTGAACTGCCTAGGCACATGGCTCCTTATTTTGGCTTTTGTCAAGGACAGGTCTCATACATTGGTTCTCTGCAGTCATGTGACCTACAATAGAATTAATTTGGTTTATTTAGAATTAGACATAGGTACACAGCTCTCATTATTAAGTCTGATACCAGATTGACAGAAAAACAAACGGATAGATGGAGGATAGATAAACTGAAATGTTTCTAAAACTCCTATTGTTTGTCCGTAGCACATGCTTTTCAGTAAGATATTTTTATGCTACATGATAAAAAAAAACAAAAAAAAACACGTTTTATTGAATTTTGAGCAACTAGAGCTTGTTCCCTGCTATTCCAGTTGTTGTGGAATGAAACACATATAGACCAACATGCACAGATACATTCATACTAATGACAAAACCTGCACATTGAAATAACACACACATTCATCCAGAACCACTCACCCAGCATATCCCTGCTCGGCTCGGCCATCATGCTGACACTCATTGGCAATGGAGGAGGCAGATAGTGTATTCCAGGCATGAGGCCAGGTGGAATAAATTGCGGTACCGTAGGGTAATAATTTGGTCTGAAATCTGTGCCTGCATCTTGAATCTGCACCAAAACAGAAAACATGTTCTCACATATAAAAAAGTAGATTAAAATCAACATTTCAATATGGTTAGCATTAGAAGTTCACAGTTTAGTAATAAAAATAGATCTGTGCACAGCCAGCCGTATGTAGTACAATTTATTAATAATAAATAAAAGGTAACAGGAGCCCCAGGTCCCTCAAACAAAATGGCAGCCCACAACGGCATTCTTCTTTCTCCACCCAATAACAGGGGAGATGATGCCTTATGCTCAAAGTTTGTTCCATCTAGTGTTGTTTATACTGTATAATACCCTGCACAATAGGTCTGTGTATTTGGAATAACAAGAACATACTTTTAGTGGGACTTACACTTAGTGGTTGATATTGCCGAAAGCTTCTTATTGGTATCCCAGCAGAACAGGGAGACCCTCTAAATCTTGGAGGATTGACTGCTGGAGGCGCAAAGAGCGGAGGGTAATGGTAAAGAGGGGGGCAATTTAGATACATCCTGGAAACATCTCTCTCAAAGTACTCAGATTTCGGTATACATTCCTGCAAAAGCACAGGCGTACCTACAAGGCAGAGAAAGATAAAAAATAAATAATTATCTTTCATTTCCCTCTTACAGTATAGGTTATCATTTTAACCTAAAAGGAAAAAACCTAATTATATTATTTAAATCTCTCAGAATAAAATTATTTAATTGATTAAATATAATGTGACAGTTAATTCTCTAAACTAGGAATTTTCAAAATAACACAATGTGAGCCAGTGACCGTGTCAGTCAATTAATCTAATTCATCAACCATTCGATTAAAAACCATGCAATTCAATTAACATAATAATAGAATATCACTAAATTATAATGACATAGTATTCTTGCTACTGTCATTTGTCACTCAGTATATTTATGAGAAGCTAATACTAATTCAACATCAATCTGAATAACTATTTCTCTAATCTTACATAGTATTTCTATATATTGCCATTAGAATATAAATCACTCCCATCTGAATGATGACTTCATTTACTATACTGGAAGTTATGGCAAGCTGTTACATAAGCCGATGAGGTATTAGAGGTTGTCGCTAAATTATAGAACTTCAGCATAGTTTACAGAGATAACCATGATATGTTACTGCATCAAAACAATCTGAACAATGTGTCCTTCAATCATTGAATTCTGGGTTATCAAGTCAGTTTGTGTTCTCTTAGGCAATTCCACAGGGAGACTCGATTATTAATTCCAGGTCAAGGAAGAGTCCAGATACATCATAGGTATTATCATTCAAGATATTTTCTCCTCCATGATAACCTAGTTATATGTGTGGCTCATTCATGTCATATTTTTTTTTTTTTTAATTTTTTATAAATAAAACACCTTTAGAATAGAACCTGTCACTAAACCAGCATAAACTTCCTTTTACATAACTTTTTTTAGATTCTGTGATCAAATATAAAGTGGCAGTTACTATATATAAGAATCGGTCAGGGAAAAAGTTTAACAGACCGCTTCACACTATAATCTGCATCATAGGCACCAATCCAGTCACACCATAATCCATATCAAACATAGACACTAATCCCGTCACACTATAAACTGTATCAAACATAGGCACCACTCCCGTCACATCATAATCTGGATCATAGGCACCAATCCCATTACACTATAATCTGTATCATAGGCACCATTCCCGTCACACTATATAATCTGTATAATCTGAGGGCTGTCTGAGAACGATGGTATTGTAGTCCAGTAGTGAGTTAGAAATGTAGTCCATAAATTTGTTAGAGAAGTAGTCCAGCAGTAAGTAATGTAGTCTAGCAGTTAATGATGTAGTCCAGGCGTTTGTTAGAGATGTAGTCCAGTAGTTAGTGCAGCAGTCAGTGATGTAGTCCAGTAGTTAGTGCAGCAGTCAGTGATGTAGTCCAGCAGTCAGTGATGTAGCCCAGTAGTTGCTGCGGCAGTCAGTGATGTAGTCCGGCAGTCAGTGATGTAGTCCGGCAGTCAGTGATGTAGTCCAGTAGTCAGTGATGTAGCCCAGTAGTTAGTGCAGCAGTCAGTGATGTAGTCCGGCAGTCAGTGATGTAGTCCAGTAGTTGCTGCGGCAGTCAGTGATGTAGTCCGGCAGTCAGTGATGTAGTCCAGCAGTCAGTCAGTGATGTAGTCCGGCAGTCAGTCAGTGACGTAGTCCGGCAGTCAGTCAGTGACGTAGTCCGGCAGTCAGTCAGTGACGTAGTCCGGCAGTCAGTCAGTGATGTAGTCCAGCAGTCAGTCAGTGATGTAGTCGGGCAGTCAGTGATGTAGTTCAGCAGTCAGTGATGTAGTTCAGTCAGTCAGTGATGTAGTCCGGCAGTCAGTCAGTGATGTAGTCCAGCAGTCAGTCAGTCAGATGTAGTCGGGCAGTCAGTGATGTAGTTCAGCAGTCAGTCAGTGATGTAGTCCGGCAGTCAGTCAGTGATGTAGTCCAGCAGTCAGTCAGTGATGTAGTCGGGCAGTCAGTGATATAGTCCAGCAGTCAGTCAGTGATGTTCAGTCAGTGATGTAGTTCGGCAGTCAGCAGTCAGTCAGTGATGTAGTTCAGCAGTCAGTGATGTAGTCCAGCAGTCAGTCAGTGATGTAGTCGGGCAGTCAGTCAGTGATGTAGTCCAGCAGTCAGTCAGTGATGTAGTTCAGCAGTCAGTCAGTGATGTAGTCCAGCAGTCAGTGATGTAGTTCAGTCAGTCAGTGATGTAGTCCGGCAGTCAGTCAGTGATGTAGTCCGGCAGTCAGTCAGTGATGTAGTCCGCAGTCAGTCAGTCAGTCAGTGATGTAGTCGGCAGCAGTCAGTGATGTAGTCCGGCAGTCAGTCAGTGATGTAGTCCAGCAGTCAGTCAGTCAGTGATGTAGTCCGGCAGTCAGTCAGTGATGTAGTCCAGCAGTCAGTCAGTGATGTAGTCCAGCAGTCAGTGATGTAGTCCAGCAGTCAGTCAGTGATGTAGTCCAGCAGTCAGTGATGTAGTCCAGCAGTCAGTGATGTAGTCCGGTCAGTCAGTGATGTAGTCCAGCAGTCAGTCAGTGATGTAGTCAGCAGTCAGTCAGTGATGTAGTCAGCAGTCAGTGATGTAGTCCAGTCAGTCAGTGATGTAGTCCGGCAGTCAGTCAGTGATGTAGTCCAGCAGTCAGTGATGTAGTCCGGCAGTCAGTCAGTGATGTAGTCCGGCAGTCAGTCAGTGATGTAGTCCGGCAGTCAGAGTGATGTAGTCCGGCAGTCAGTCAGTCAGTGATGTAGTCCAGCAGTCAGTGATGTAGTCCAGTCAGTCAGTGATGTAGTCCGGCAGTCAGTGATGAAGTCGGGCAGTCAGTGATGTAGTCCCGCAGTCAGTGATGTAGTTCAGCAGTCAGTCAGTGATGTAGTCCGGCAGTCAGTGATGTAGTCCAGCAGTCAGTGATGTAGTCCACAGCCAGTGATGAAGTCTACAGTCAGCCAGTGATGTAGTTCAGCAGTCAGTGATGTAGTCCAGCAGTCAGTGATGTAGTCCGTGCAGTCAGTCAGTGATGAAGTTCAGCAGTCAGTCAGTGATGTAGTCCGGCAGTCAGTGATGTAGTCGGGCAGTCAGTGATGTAGTCCGGCAGTCAGTGATGTAGTTCAGCAGTCAGTCAGTGATGTAGTCCGGCAGTCAGTGATGTAGTCCAGCAGTCAGTGATGTAGTCCAGCAGTCAGTGATGTAGTCCAGCAGTCAGTGATGTAGTCCAGCAGTCAGTGATGTAGTCCAGCAGTCAGTGATGTAGTTACCGGTTTCCTGTCGCCGGTCCCCGGTGGCCCCTTCCTCGCTCGGTTTGTGTGCCGGCTCCGTGTGCCCCCCGGCCGCCGCGGATCCCGGCTCCCCCTGCCCCCCGCCCGGGCCGGCCCTGCGGAGCTGCTTGTGGGCCGCCATGATCTTGTGTCTCTCGGTAATGAGGGAACACTTGGGGCAGGAGCACGACTTCCAGGCACACTGCCCCGAGTGGCCCCTCACCGGCACCACCACCCCGTGATTCCGGCACCGCGAGCACTTCGGGATCCGGGGGGTCCTCAGGGCCCCTAATGGATCCCCTGCGGGGTTCGGCATGGCTGGCTGTGTGTGGTGTGATCTGTCACCCGGCAGGGGTGGTAATGGAACCCTCCTATAGGGGGAGCCAGGGAGCTGTGTGTAACACCCGAGTAATACTGAGCTGGGTGTGCCCGGGGGGGTCACTCTATAAGGGAGGGGCGGGCCTGGAAATATCACTAATTACAACTCAAAAACTCCCAACATTTTATTCAGCTAGATAGGGGGGAGATACATTTTAAATTATTATTCAAAAATAATTTCATAATCTTTTACTCACAAATTATTTACTGTTTTTCTTTTTATTATGATTTACAAAGTTTCCTCAGAATGTTCTAGATTGCCAGCCCAATATATATTTACAAACTCTATATGTAGCATTCCCAATAAGCTTTTCATTGTTATTGGTGTTTAAAATAATATTTTCAAAATGCTCAAGGATAATGAAAGACATATAATTATTAATATCATTAATAATAAACACATACAATGACCTTTCTATTTAAGCAGCCTGATATAATTTTTCTTTATTTTTTGCCCCTTGTTTCAGAACTTGTTCCATTAATTTGAGTAAAATAAAATACTTGTAAACTAGAGAACTGTATCCTTCAGGGTTACAGCCACACTTGCTGATTTATTCAAATAAAATCAACAGAATAATTATTATAGTGACTTTAAAAACAAATTGCAGAATTTTTTTCAGCAACAGTTTAATTGAAATCAAATCTCCAACCCTGTTATAAGCAGAGCTCGGTTTCAAATGCCCACATTTTGTGATTCGGATTTAAACTCACCACACTTCCCAGAGTTATCCACTAAAGTGAGAATTGAGAGTGAATTTCAAGTTTAAGGTCAAGATAGGCAAACTGGAAAAATCCTCTTAAATCAGCTTTGATTTCAGTTTGGCTACTCTGGCCTTAAATGTGGAATTCACATTGAACTCACACTATAGTAAATAACCCTGTCAGTGTCTGGCTAATAAATCCCATCAATGTATTTAAAAGCACCCAACATCTAAATAATAACTCATATAATTTTGTGGTATAGGCCAAAGCCTGAGTGGTAGTTTTGTGAAATCTATGTTGAGTAATGAGTCCACCAAATTGTATATTATCATACTTTATTAATCTCTATTTATAAATATGTGGAACACAATTAAAAAAATAAATAAATAAATAAATGGCCAGTTCAGCTGCTATCCATCCACCATTATCTCTTCCTCTGTAAATGTTTGCCAACCCCCTCCATTACACAGCCTATTGCATGCAGTTTGAGGAGCTTAGTATAATAAAGTATCATTTTGTGCACCTGACAGGCTCTTTAGCAACATTTCTGCCTCAGTTATGTCTGTTTTTAGAAACTCATCAAAATATCTGCAGTTTGTTTAAAAACATGGCAGTGACACATGCAGTTCTAATTATCCAGGTTTCATAGTGTTAGGAGCAAGTAACTACTGACAGAAAAGAAACATGATTTTAATGGAAAGTCATGTCCTCCGCTACACTTGGTTTGAGTATACATTTACACTCACAATAAATTATGAAATACCTCTACAGAAAGAAAAGCAATATAGCCATAAATTAACAATAACAAGAGAAACACCAATGCACAATAATTTATAAATAATCTATAAACTAATAATAAAATAGCAGCATCGGTGCATAATACAGATAATATATTTTGTGATAAAGCCCAACAATAAACACAGCAGTTCTTAAGACGATATTTAAAGTGCATCCATGTACAAAATGAATAACTAAATACGATTACAAATCTGCTTTCTTTTCAGTTTATGTTTGTGTGGTAAATTAAGACAAATGTGGGATCTACAAATGACCATATGGTCGGCATTGCTGTGGTTAGAGTTTATTCATGACTTGCAAAAAAATAATGTGAAAGAGCAAAAATGTCACATTTTCAAATATTTGTGTGTTTTACAACTTGATTATTTTGTGTCCATTCTGTAAATTGAGTTAGGATGACTTGCTGTTTAATGAATAAGCCCCAGTTTCTCAGCCTTGAGAAAATGTTTTTTATTAACTCATGTTTAATTCAATCTATACATTTAACAGAGATTCAGCAACCACGATGTACATAAAGTATATTTTATTTCTCATACGTTGCTAAAATAATGTATTTTTTACCAGAACATTATGAAAGTTATGTGCCAGCGTATCTTTCAGTACTTTTTATATATTGTTAAAAGGCATGGAAGAAAGTCAATGTTTATTAAATATTCCACTGTTTTTGTATTTAGGTTGGTGGACAGAAGCTACAAATTACATAAACAAAAAAAAAAAAAAATCAACATTTGAGGAAATACGCAAATAAAAGATGGGAGTTAAGCAAATATAGGAAGGAAAATGGAAAGAAAGACAGTTTACTCGAAAATTGGACATCGGATCAGATAACGTCTAACTGTACTTGAAAGCGTTTTAATATTTATAGTAATATGTTTCTTATATTTATCATTCTGTTATATTAAATGCACCATTGTTAGTATATCATATTAATTGCCTCAGTTTTAAGCAGAATTCTCATATTTGTATTTAAATTTGATATTTGAATAAGAATAGACACTAACATTGGATAAAATAACAGTGTGAGTATGAAGATATGTTTCTCTAGTCATGATTAAACAGTAAACATTGGAAACATAGAGGTTTGTCAGCAAATGGCTGCTGAGTGTCTTTGCAGCTCCTTCTAACTGAGCTGTGATTGGCTAAGCAAAAAAGCGGGAAAGTCATCCCTGCAATGTGATTGGCCTTTCAGCAAATGAGAGATTGTTCACAAGGCTGCCTTGGAAACAGTGGAAAGATTTTAATTGCTTGTATGGTCTGTGTATCCCTGTGTCAGGCTCTGTCTCCTGGAGAGATAGATTACTATATATTACATGATCCAATCCTTCTTTCAATATTCTGATCATGGTTATCATCTGTACTGCACTGATGGGACACAATCCATACATTTATTTCTGTAATATAAAGGGAATAATGCACAGTCTGTGGGTTCTAGCCTCATACACAACATGAATATAATACAAATATATGAATATTAATATTGTAAAATGATTATTACAATGAGTATAATAATAACAGTCTGCTCACTATTAGTGGGAGTTACACTAAAGAGCAGGAGCTGCCACCATTTTAAGGATGGCAGATGAAATAATTCCTACCCAGGACTGCACTCCTCTGTATGTCCCAGTGTTGCCTTACAGTAAAGTCCTTCTTTTAACCATTACACTACACATTAACGCTTACATTACCTTAAAGGGACACTATAGTCACCAGAAACCAGAACCACAACAGCTTAATGTAGTTCTTCTGGTGTCTATAGCCTGTCCCTGCAGGCATTTTAATGTAAACACTGCCTTTTCAGAGAAAAGACAGTGTTTACATTGCTGCCTTGGGACACCTCCAGTTGCAGTCACTCAGACAGCCACTAATGGTGCTTCCTGGGTCAGTGCTGCACGTGCAGCAGCTATGTTCAGCGTCTCCACGCTTTGCGTTAAGGCGCTAAAGTTCCTTATAGATATGCATTGATTAATTGAGGAGATGCTAACTGGCGCACCACAGCGTAATTTCTACAGCTCAGAAGAAACTGCTTGCAAATAAACCACTATGATAATTAAGCTCCCTATCTGAAAGACAAATCCTTTAAGTAAAAATTACCCTGAAGAAAATGTAAACAAAACTATAGAATCAGTAAAAATACAAGATTGAAAAGAACTTCTAGTATACAAAACCAAAAATAATGATCCACCCACCATCCCGATCATCTTTGATTATAATAACAAGAATAAAAATATCTTTAAAAACATAAACAAACACTGGCACACCACAGTAAATAAACAAGTTATCATACTATCTGGGGGTCATATCTACAAAGAGGCTTCTTGTACTGAGCTACACTTATCACAGAATGGGAAATTATATACATAGTGCTGTACCAACTTTTTTTGTATTATGTTTCATATTATGTTGTGTATTCTGATATATATTACTTTTCTATAAACCTCACGGAGAATTCTCTGTTGGCTTGAAAATGACAAATCAGGACAATAGACAAACGCTATATAAGTCACCAATATCAATGTTCCATAGGGCTGTCATTCAAATGTCTGACTTGTAGATAAGTTGAAAGACGATTGATCATAAATGCATGAATTTTAATACTGTATTTGATAATGTCCCACCTTACGAACACGTGACATCTTGCAATGTAACACGCGATTTTACTTTGTGACAAAACAATAAAAACTTATACTGTAAATAAGAAAACAAAAAAACACTGGCATGTGTTACAACAAGACAATGTGTTAAAGAATATTATCATTGAGAAACCCAATTATAATTAGAGGTGCTCCAAGCCTGTACACTTGCTTAGCTTAAAACGAGACCAGAAAATGTGACATAAAAAACAATTTCCTATTTAATGATACAGGTTAATTAAATAAAAACAGTGATTCACATGCAAATCCACTGATTCTACAATAAGAAAAGTCACTCACTTTACATCAAACAGAACTAACACGACTTATAAAATTAAAGATCTCATTACCTGTAACACTAACAATGTCATCTATCTAGTGGAGTGCCCTTGTGGCCTCCGATATGTCGGTATGACATCAAGATGCCTAAAAACCTGCATTGTCAAGCATGATCGCAACATAACCAAAGATTTCTAGAATCATTCTCTCTCTAAACATTTTAACATGCACAATAACAACCCCAACGTCTTAAAAGTCACTGGAATTCAAAAGTGCTGTAATTGGAGGGGTGGAGACATGAAAAAGTTGTTAGATTGAAGTGAGATGAACTGGGTCTTTAACCTAAAAACTGTAGAGCCAAAAGGCCTTAATGCAAAATTTGACCTTTTTTTTAATTCTTTATTTATATTGTGCAAGTTATAACAACAAAGCTTTGTAGGCCACGACAGCACTTCCAAGCAGAGAAATAGGTTTAAGAATCATAGTCATGGCATTCGGTTAGACAGCACATTTTTGTATTGTTAATTGC